ACAATCAATACATGAGAATACTTTTTCGAAAGATCATTCAAAAAATCAAAATAACTCCTCAAATAAGCATTTCCGATATCACCTGCCAACACGATCACATCTCCATATGATTTTTCACATAATTGATGATTGTACTTTTCCTTGTAGCAAGCCTGAAATTTTGCATAGGATTCAAAGTGTTCAATATGAAGATCACTACAAAACTGAATAATCATTTTTTTTTGTTGTGTGGAACAAAACCGTAGCTGACACGACTTGCCACGTCGAATTCTCGTTTGTGATCTTGGAATGGTCGTCGTGTTGGTAGTGTGTGAATAACTACATGAACTCGTCACTTGCCACGTCGACATCAACACGATTGACACCATTCCAAGATCACAAACGAGAATTCGACGTGGCAAGTGACGAGTTCATGTAGTTACTGGTTTATTATTTACAAAAAACCATCCATTCCCAACACTTTTAACATGTACCACACCATTTTCATATACCAATGATCAATCACCAAATGAGGAACATTATTCGATGAAAATATTTGTTGACAAATCGCACTCGAGACATGAGCTGGATCTTGAGCATTATCAATGAACCGTTTCGCATCTTGTTGTTTCTTCACAGCAATATCATGATATTCAGAATTTTCATCAAATGGTTTCAAATTCAAAATATTCGTTCGTGAGAATCCTGGTTCCACACACGTCAATCTCATTCCATTCTTGACTGCTTTGAATTCACGTCTCAAAGAATCACTCAATCCAACCATTGCAAATTTAGAACTTGTGTAAAATCCAAAGAATGGTGGAGCAACAAGACCAGCCACACTTGCAATATTCACAACAATGGATCCATACATGGAATGGTTCTTTTCATTAGAAGAATTTTTCTCACTCACGATTTTGGTCATTTGAGGATACAATTCTCTTAACATTCTGACATGTCCAAATAAATTCACACCAAATACTTGTTGCAAATCTTCTTCAGAATATTCAACAATTCCACATCGTTTTTTAGTACCAGGAGCATTGGCAATACCTGCATTATTGACAAGTGCAAAAATTGAATCAGCGTTCCAATTGGAGAGAGTTTGACGAATTTCTTTCGCTGCTCGTTCGACATGATCCACTTTGGTAATATCACATTCGATTAATTGTAGACGTGAAGCTGTCTTTTCTGATGATAATTCTGTTTTGAATTTTTCTTCGAGAAATTGTTGATTGATATCGATGGCGATCACTCGACATTGCCACTTGTCAAGTAATTCTTTACAAGTCAAGCTTCCGAAACCACCTGCAGCACCACTGACAACAATGACGCGACCTTGTGATGGAATGTCGAGAAGAGGTTTACGTTTCAGAACAATTACGTATGAGATTCCCGCAATCAAGGCAGCGAGTGTGAAAAGGAGCACGAGAATCATTTTTTTTTGTGTCCGAGAGAGGAGGCATCTGGTGATGAGAACTTCATGTGACGGAGACAAGTCACCCGGGCCAATAAAGGACCTTGAAGTAAATCTCACAAGGATAGGAGCTATTCCATGAACTCTTCAAGAATTTCCATTTCAATTAAAAGCTTTTACTGTACAGTTTTTGAAATCAAAATGTATTACTTTTCAAGCTTGGCTAATGTATGCTTGACATAATTCTGAATGGCTGTATTCTTGAAAGTGACGGTTCTACCGGTTCTTCTAAAAATTACATTGCTTTCTAAGAGTTTTCGAACAGGATTGGGGACAAATTCTGTAACAGCACAATTGTATCCACATTCTTTGACCACTTCTGATGATGGCGTCAAAGATTCAAAATCATGAACGTCAATAGATCCATGCTGTAAAATATGTCTTGCCACATCTTGAAATGCCTTGTTAAAAAGAGGATCTACTCCTGAATGAATAAACTTTTCTGTTATAGCTAAATCTACTTGGTATAATTGGTTATACTGATTTAGATACTTTGGAATGTAACCAGTCACAGAGAAGATGCGTTCCATTTCTTGTGGATCAGTAACATTAAACTTTTTTCTCAAAAATCCTTTTGCTTCTTCCCTTGTCATTTCACCAATTTCATATACTCGAAGTCTACTACTGAATTCAGACACGGTACACACACTCTTGTCTCCATCTGTTGTGATCACAAAAATACAATTCAATGCTTCACTGTCAGCCATCTTTTTAGCAAGTTCTTGAAGATTTCTAAAAAATTGTTTCCCTTCGTCATTGGTATTTAATCGATGAGCATTATCAATCACCATAAGGGGTCGTTTTCCAGTTTTTTTTTTGATTTCAATTCCCACTTTTTCTAAATCTGACAAGATATCATGTGAAGAATCAACATTCAGTAACTTTTTGACATAGTGAAAGAAGGAATTAATTAAGGTGAAATATCCTAATTCGCTTTTCAATCGTGCCTCGTATTGTCGTTCAGTAGCTGCCGAATAAAAAACTGGAATACCTTGTTTACGTGCTTTGTAAACTAGTCGATTCACAATTTCAGATTTACCACTTCCACTTTCTCCAATGATCATTGCATATTGATTTAATGAATGTACTGCAAAGTTCAGCAACTCTTCCTCCTCTTTTTTTCTCTCAATAGCTTCAGCAAAATGCGCCATATCGTCATCTGTAACGTTAGTTTTGAATTCTTCTTGCACTCTTGACAATTTCATATATTCCTCCACAACCAGCACCAACAAAACCAACAACACAGTTGCTAACTTAAAAATCCAAGTGTTTTGCATCAATGATCTGAATGCTCGGGTCCACCTAGAAACTTTTTGTTGAGTTTCTTTTAGGGCTTCTCCAATATTTTGATTGGAAAGTAAATGTTTCAAGGATGTAGCATCAAGCGCTAGAAAGGAAAGCCTTGGTTCTGTCTCGTCTTTTCGCGAGGTGCTTTTTTCTTGTTGATTGGTGGCAGTTGTAGTATTTACATTGATAGAAGTGGTACTTGGTGTGGTCGTATTCGGTGGTGGTGGAGATGATGAACGATCCGATTGGCCATTCGTAACACCCAGCCGGATACAAGTATGAAATCTTCGTTCATGCTGAGGCTGTTGTAATAAATAACGAATTAATGATACTTTGGGAGTGAGATTATCAGCAACTGCTGTGGTTGCACATCGATGATACTGAATATTCTTGCCTCTCGAAAATAGAGAAAAGGATCGGTTTAAATTTCTAATCATTTTTTTTGGTGGGTTAAATCCCCGCTTCTCATGGACCCGCAACCCTCTTCGCAAAGTT